ACGGTCAAGAGGAAGGTTGAAGGCTGGGCGCGCGCGCCAAGTTCAAATGTACAGGAGGGCGGCGCAGTTGGCAGCCCGGATAGGGAGCCAGGTCCCAAAGCCCGCCGAAAGGCAGGTGGTGAAGCAAACGCCTCCGATGGTGATGCAAATTGGGAATCACCGAGAAGTCATCAGCTTCAATGTCACCCAACTGTCGGACCGCCTGTAGTATTAGGCATGAGTTGGCTGCACAGGCACAGCCCAGCATTGGCTTGGTACCAGCGCCAACTGACTTTCGGCTCCTCCTACTGTGCGGAACATTGCATTCTGCCTAGCCCGGAAGGGGAAGAGGATGACCCGCAGCTACAATTAGGCACGCTGCAAGCAGTGCCCATCAAGTACGCAGCGTTTTTGGAGGTTTTCTGCGAGAAGGAAGCGGACAAGCTACCTCCCCACAGGTCCTATGACTGCAAGATTGACCTCCGGCCGGGGGCGACGCTGCCGACCGGGAAACTGTATTCCATGTCTGAAGACGAACTGCAGGAACTCAGGGAGTTCATAGATCACAACTTGAAGCGCGGTTTCATCCGGGAGTCGAAGGCAGTGGGGGGCAGTCCCGTATTCTTTGTGAAGAAAAAGGACACGCCCCCAAAAAGGCTTGTGGTGGACTATCGAATTTTGAACTCGAAAACCAAGCCCACAGCCTTCCCCATGCCCAAGATCGACGACCTGCTCGCGACGGTGAGAAAAGGACGCGTTTTCACCAAGTTGGATCTGCGAGGGGCGTACAACCTGATTCGCATACGGGAGGGTGACGAGTGGAAGGCGGCCATGTTCACGCCCCTGGGCACCTATGAATACAGAGTTATGCCCTTTGGATTACAAAATGGCTCCCACTGTTTTCAAGCCTTCATGCATCACGTGTTAGCGGGACTCCTCTACAAGAAGTGCGTCTGCTTCCTGGACGACATCCTGATATTTTCAGAATCGCAGGAGGCTCACGAGAGAGACGTCAAGGAAGTTCTGCAGAGACTGCAGGAGCACAGACTGTACGCCAAGCTGGAGAAGTGCCAGTTCGACATGACGGAGGTGGATTTCTTGGGCTACAAATTGTCGGACAAGGGGCTCGCCATGGACAGCGCCAAGGTTCGCTCGGTGTTGGACTGGAAGAGCCCGCGCAATCGGAAGGAGGTCCAGCGGTTTGTTGGCTTTGCTAACTTTTACCGCAAGTTCATCAAGGGGTTCGCTATGCAGACGGCGGCCATTACCGACACGCTCAGCTCCAAGAAGAAGAAGTTCATCTGGACGGAGCAAGCGGAGCAGTCCTTTCAGAAACTCAAGCGTCTCTTCTCATCCGAAGAGCAGCTACTGCATGTGAATCCCAGCAGACCGATGAGGGTTGAAACGGACGCCTCAGACAGGGCCGTGGGAGCAGTCCTGTTGCAGCAAGACCCGCATGGGGACTGGAGACCGTGCGCCTTCTACTCCAGGAAGCTCAGCAAGTCAGAGCAGAACTACACCATCTGGGACAGGGAGTTGCTAGCCATTCATGCAGCATTCAAGGCGTGGCGGCACTTCCTTATCGGAGCCAAACACACAGTGCAGGTCCGCACAGACCATAAGAACCTGGAGTACTGGCGCACGGCAAGGTTCCTGAACCAGAGGCACATACGATGGGCGGAGTTCTTTGCGGACGTCGACTTCAGGATAGAGTACATCCCAGGCGACAACAACGTCATGGCGAATGCACTGTCCAGGAAGCCGCAATACCTCGAGGAGGCGGCACCAGCGGCGGCCAAGCACATTTTCGCACCGAAAGCGTGGGAGTGCGCTTCGGCAACCGTGGACCTGGATGCTGTACGTCGCGCGCTGCAGGAGGACCCCTTCGCACAAGCCAAGATGGAGGAGGTGCACAGGGGCACGGCGAAGGACGACGAGTTCCAGATACGCGACGGATTGCTCATCCGCAAAGGGGCCCTCTACGTACCGGGAGACGACCTCCGCGCGAAGGTACTGCAGCAGTTGCACGACGCACCCACCGTCGGGCACTTTGGCAAAGAGAAGACTGTAGAATTAGTAGCCAGAGATTTTTGGTGGCCCAAGATGTGGGGGGAAGTCGCGGATTACGTCTCGAGGTGCGACACCTGCCAAAGGGCCAAGTCAGTGCACAAACCGCCGGCGGGACTGCTGGAACCGCTGCAGACACCGCTCGAACCGTGGGAGAGGGTGGCCCTGGACTTTGTCATGGATCTGCCCAGCTCGAGGGGCAAGACAGCAGTGCTAGTGGTGGTGGACATGTTCACCAAAATGGCCCACTTCATTCCGTGCGCGAAGGTGGCCACGGCGGAACAGACCGCCAAACTGTTCATAGACCACGTGTTCAGGGTTCACGGTCTACCACGGTCTATCCTGTCCGACCGGGGGCGACAGTTCATCTCGAACTTCTGGCAGAAGCTTATGGGCATCCTGAACGTCAAGATCAACCTAGCGTCGGCGAGACACCCGCAGACCAACGGACAAGCGGAGCGGGTCAACGCCATCATGCAGCAGTACCTGAGATGCTACGCAAATCAGCAGCCTGCAACATGGGTGGACTACCTGCCGCTCGCCGAGTTCGCCTACAACAACACGAAGCACGTGTCCACGGGGGTGACACCGTTCTTCGCCAACAACGGGAGGCATCCCAGAACTTTCCCTGGATTAGAGAGAGTGGGGGAGGGGGAGCCACAGGCAGCGGAAGCCTTCGCGTCAGAGTTGCAGGAGGTCCACGAACAGCTTCGAAGGCAGTTAGAACTAGCAAAGCACGCATACAAACTGCAGGCTGACAGACACAGAAGGGTTGGGGAAGACATACAGGTGGGAGACTGGGTTTGGTTAGCAGCCCAGGCAGTGCCGGCCAGATCGTTAGCGAAGAAGAAGCTCGGACATAAGCAGCTAGGGCCTTACCAAGTCGAGGCACAGGTTAATCCAGTGGCCTTCCGGTTGACACTTCCGGAGGGATCCAGAATGCACCCAGTTTTCCATAGATCAGTGCTCACGCCCTACAAAGCACCTCACAGATTTCAGGAGCCAGGCACGGCACCAGACCCGCTCAGGGAAACGCCCACAAGGGGGTGGTCGCCAAGGGGGGAACCCATCAACGAGGTCACAGAGATTTTAGACTCGAGATGGGGGGAAGAGGGAGTAGAATATCTTCTCGCCAGAGAAGGTACCCCGGCCAGCGCCAACAGTTGGGTGCCGGACTATGCTTTGGAGGAACCTCTGCTCAAAGACGAGTTTCATGCCCTTTTCCCACACAGGCCCATGCCAGCCGAGTATTTCGACGACTGGCTTTTCACACCCACACTTTCAGCCAGCACATTCCAGGGGTTCGCCTCGGACGAAGAACCGGCACTAGACACACGTTCCCCGGAGGGATCACCCTCGGGGTCTGCCTCAGACCGCTCTTATTGGTGGGACGATCGACCAGAGGAGCAGTGGCGCAGGAAGTGGCTGGGGGGTCCTTGGCAGGCAACATCCCCAGAGGAGAACGGGGGAGAGACGGACATGGACGTGTTGGGGGAGGACGTTGGGTTCGAGCACGGAGGCAAAGAGATGGAAGCAGAGGAGATCGACGTCGGCGAGAGCACGGAGAACGAGCCGGACTTATCCGGCTGGATGTACGCCACGGGGGACGAACTGTATCCGGCACTCACCCCCACAACGACGGAGCACCCAGTACCCACACCGGAAGGAGGGGAGGGGGGAAGGGGGGGCTTCGAGGCGGGGATGGATGTCAGGGGCTCAGGAGCAGAGGCACAGGAAAGGGAGGAAATAAAGAGCGAGGGGGAGGAATCCGAAGGAAATGTTAGCGATGACAGCCGCCCGAGGTCTCTGAGTCTTTCCAGCGAATCGGAAGATTCACAGAAAGGGGCTCCCCTGGTCAGAGCAAGGGGGGTGCCTAGGGGGACACCCCAGGAAGAAGGGGCCAGAGGGGACTCAGAGAGCAGCAGTTGGAAATCAGGACCAGCTTCCCCACCAGAGCGCAGTAGGGGGGAGGAGTCCCAGGTATCGGGATCAGGAGGCTCACCGCCAGCGAGAGGAGAGGAGTCAGGATTGGCCACACCTCCATCGGAGAGCGAGGAAACGGTCAAGAGGAAGGTTGAAGGCTGGGCGCGCGCACCAAGTTCAAATGTACAGGAGGGCGGCGCAGTTGGCAGCCCGGATAGGGAGCCAGGTCCCAAAGCCCGCCGAAAGGAGGGGGAGGAGTCAGGGGGGTCAGCGTCAGAAGAGTCCAGAAAGGAGGAGACCCCGGGGGGCAGAAGGACCCAGAGGAGAAAGGAGAGACGGAAGAGGTGGAGTAAGGTTAGAGTCTTAAGCTGGTGTACAGGGGGTGGAGACTCAGATGGAGCTTCGCCGGTCTAGCCTCTAAGACGTAGAGCTGGGCGCTGCGGCTTGAAAATGGAAACTGTACTTCAATAAAGACTTTTGTACATTACTACCGGCTAGCGTTGGTCCTCTGTGAGCTGGGACCTGGAGCCAGCTCTGACAGCATCCATTTGTCCCAGAAGATGGTGGAAGAGAGCATCTTCGGGAGTGAAGTCACAGCATTGGAGAGTTTCAGCACCTGCTGTGGCCGTCAAGACAGATATGGGAGAGACATGTTTTGTTGCAGCAGGGGCAGGTGAGGAGTCTGGTTGTGCAGCTGCGAGTGCACTATGGAATTTTTCTCTGTGCAAAGTGCTTCTTCTTCTTCTTCTTCTTCTTCTTCTTCTTCTTCTTCTTCTCCTATTTATATTTATACTCCGCCCATCTGGCTGGGTTTCCCCAGCTACTCTGGGCAGCTTACAGCACATAAAAAATGGTAAAACATTAGATATTAAAAATTTGCTGATATAGGGTGGCCTAGTCTACATACAACGGTACAATAGCCATATGATTCAAAAAGAAATAGCAATGCAACATAACGTTAAAATTAAAAATTAAAAGTGTATCCCTCATGGGCATAGCCAGAATTTATGTTACAGGGCTAGGACACCCACCTGTCTTCATCGCCTGTCTGGCTCTGTCTAGCAGATTCGGAATGAAATGTCTCAACAGCCGTTGTTTTCAATTACTTTCTTTGGACCCCAATAGTTCAGAGAAGTCTGTCAGAATCTTCAGTCATTTGAAAACTAGGAAGTTAAAAAATTAACACCCGGGAGTACCTTTCATGTGGTTAATGAGTACATTTTGCAAAATTACAAAGAACACACCTTTTTTTATCTTACTTTTAAAAAAATCTAAACTAAAACAAGTTTTCCTGGATTGCTGAAAACCATTTCAGCATTCCCTTCTCAAATTCCTCCTTTTTTCCCAATGCAGTTTTTCTGTGCACACTCAGTAAGCAGACTCCATTGTCTTTACTCCCCATAAGATACTGAATGAGCTCTGTAGGGCACAGCTGAGCAAGAGAGAGATTTCCATTTCAAATATTCTGATTATTTCCATTTTTAGTTAAGTATTTTTATTTATTTACTTGATTTGGAGGGGGCAGCTGCCCCCCCTGCCCATGATATCACTACAACATCACTTAAACACATACATACTATTATTAACAATAATACTATATACAAATTATAATATTAAATAATAATAATAATAATGATAATAATGATAATAATAATAATAATAATAATAATAATAATAATAATAATAATAATAATAATAATAATTACAGCCCACATATATATATCCCGTTCAGCTTCCAGCCCCGGGACTTACCTTTCCCTGCAACCTTGCATTGGAGCTGGAAGGACGCAAGGGAAGGCCTAACAGGAAACTACATCTCCCATGAGGCAGTGGGGGTGGTGGCCGTCGCGGTTGGCGTGACGTCACCTCCCGGCGCTCCCCTCTGACGATGCCCGGGGCTTGGTTCCTTCTCGCAGCAGCGCAGTCCGGGGGAGAAGAAGGTGAAGGTGAAAGGGCAGCAGCGCCTGGGGAGCGGGTGAGGCGAGTGGACGCGTGTCAGCGGGTTCAGACGTGGCAGCCCTCAAACCAAGTGCCGCTTCGCTAAAACCCCACTTGCTTGGGGTTTGGAGGAGGAGGGTGAGGGTGGCGGCGTTCCCTCGCGTGCGCGACACGTGTCGGCTCGGGTCACGCGTGCAAGGTGTGCGCCCAGGTGAGGCTCCGCGCACGTGGGTCGGGCATGTGCCAGGTGGGCGGGCGCTCGCTGGCTGCAGCCCAGTCTGAAGGGCGTGGCTGGCATGGGTGGCCTTGGGGCGGACTGGCAGGTGCGAGGGGTCGGGGTGAGGGTAGGATCCAGGTGCGGGAACCCCCTGCAAAACGAAAGACTGTTCTTTCTGCAAGGTATGAGCGTGAAGGTAAGCAGGTAGGGGGTGGCTGGATGCGGGGGGGTGGTCTGGGCAGGGAGGGGCAGCTGCCCCCCAAATCAATAAAAATGCATAGTATACTAAGGTTCTGCGCCCCCTAACAAAAGGCCTGCCCCCCTAAATCCTGGCTACGTCCATGGGCCTGCAGTTCAGGGGCGGGACATCTGCTTTGAATGCAGAAGGTTTGATACCCAGAATCTGCAGGTAGGATTGGGGCCAGGGCTGGATTTAAGTTTGATGAGGCCCTAAGCAACTGAAGGCAATGGGCCCTTTATATGCCCAGCTGTCCTTTGTCAAAAACAAATTGTCGCTGGTTTTTTGTGTTGAATATATGCTATATGGGGACGCGGGTAGCACTGTGGGTTAAACCACAGAGCCTAGGACTTGCTGATCAGAAGGTCGGCGGTTCGAATCCCCGCGACGGGGTGAGCTCCCGTTGCTCGGTCCCTGCTCCTGACAACCTAGCAGTTCGAAAGCACGTCAAAGTGCAAGTAGATAAATAGGTACCTCTGGCAGGAAGGTAAACAGCATTTCCGTGCGCTGCTCTGGTTTGCCAGAAGCTGCTTAGTCCTGATGGCCACTTGAGCTGTATGCCGGGTCCCTCGGCCAATAAAGCGAGATGAGCGCCGCAACCCCAGAGTCATCCGCGACTGGACCTAATGGTCAGGGGTCCCTTTACCTTTACCTAAGCTACTGAAGGTAATGGGGCCTTTTATATGTCCAGCTGTCCTTTGTCAACAACAAATCGTCACTGTTATTTTGTGTTGAATATATGCTATATGGTAATTTATGGACCTAATACGTATCTAAAGCCATTTGCACATGTTGCTGTCAACCAGTCCATGCAGAATGTAGGCACCCTATATATAGAAATGAGCAAACCAGTGATATTTTAGGGAGCAGGCGGGGCCCGTTACAGGAGCCTACACAACACGAAACACTGTTGCTGTATGTGGGTTTTATTTTATTAGTTTTTTATCATATATTTTGGAAGCGTACATCCAGTTATTTATCTCATGTCTACAACTCGAGGTGATGTGCATTGGGTCCATCTAGTTCAGCATTGCCAACACTGGTTGGCGGCCAGGGCCAGATTTAGGTTTGATGAGGCCCTAAGCAACTGAAGGCCCTTTATATAAAGGTGGGGCCCTTTATATGTCCAGCTGTCCTTTGTCAACAACAAATTGTCGCTGTTTTTATTGTTGAATGGTGGCACTGTGGGTTAAACCACAGAGCCTAGGACTTGCCGATCAGAAGGTCAGCAGTTCGAATCCCCGCGATGGGGTGAGCTCCCGTTGCTCGGTCCCTGCTCCTGCCAACCTAGCAGTTCGAAAGCACATCAAAGTGCAAGTAGATAAATAGGTACCACTCCAGCGGGAAGGTAACGGCGTTTCCGTGCGCTGTTCTGGTTCGCCAGAAGCGGCTTAGTCCTGCTGGCCACATGACCCAGAAGCTGTATGCCGGCTCCCTCGGCCAATAAAGCGAGATGAGCATCGCAACCCCAGAGTCATCCGTGACTGGACCTAATGGTCAGGGGTCCCTTTACCTTTACCTAAGCTACTGAAGGTAATGGGGCCCTTTATATGTCCAGCTGTCCCTTGTCAACAACAAATTGTCACTGTTTTTAGTGTTGAATATATGCTGTGTATTCCATTACTTACACCATAGGAGCCTGCACAACACAAAACACTGTTGCTATATGTAAGTTTTATTTCATTTGTCTTTTATCTTATATTTTCGAAATGTACATCCAGTTGGGTTTTTTTTGCTTTAAGTTTTTTGGGGCCCCCAAGAGAGTGGGGCCCTAAGCTATAGCTTGTTTAGCTTATACGTAAATCCGGCACTGACTGGGGCAAAGGCCTTTGCCTGAAACCCTCAAAACACTCTGCAGGGTCTGATCCTGGATATGGCACCTTCCTATTTAAACCAACCTTTAATTTGAAGCCAGGAAAAAGATGGTCTTCCTTTATTTTGGGTGGGAAAGGACTATCTTTGATATAATAATAATAATAATCATCATTATTATTATTTATTTATTTATTAATTATTTGTACCCCGCCCATCTGGCTGGGCCTCCCCAGCCACTCTGGGCGTCTTCCAACAAAGATTAAAAATACCTTTAAATGCATTTAAAAGGTCCTGGGATCAACCCTCAGCTTTTCCAGGGAGAGGCTCCTGGCCCCCCAAAACCCTGGTCAGCTGCTGACAATTCTGAGCCCCTTGTCTGACTCTGTATAAGACAGCTTACTGTCTAAATAAGCCATGAGGACTTGAATTCTACTTTATTTTGGGGCAGGGGAAAGACCATATGGCTTAGGGATAGAACACTTGATTTGCAGGGGAAATGTCCCAGGGAGAGGCTGCCTGCCTGAACCCTGCTAGCCAATATACCAAGGGCGCCAGAATCCGTATAAAGCACTTTTTCATGTGTTTTGGTGATAGTTTGGTGAGTCCTTATGTGTGTGGGAGGGAAGCAGCTCAAGTTACTCAGCTGCAACATGCGGTTCATGGGGGATTTTTGAACAGAGCACTCCTCAGCCACGTCTCCTCAGAAGTAAGTCCTACCTAACTTAATGGGGCTTACTCCCAGGTCGGGTAGGGCTAGGACTGCCGCCTGAGGCTCTCTTTCAGTTTATATTTATTTATATAGTGTCTTCCCCCCAGAACTGGGACTCGACGCAGCTCGCAAAAATTAAAAACTGTTGGAAACATTGCAAAGCTAAAAACAGATATTAGCTCAGAAGTAGCTAAACTGTGCTAGAATTGAAACGATGGAAAGACAAATCTGTTAAAATGCAAGTGGTGCAAACTGCAACAGCCCTTCCTTACAAAAACCCAAACCAATTAGTCCCCAAAGGAATAGCGTTGACCTGCCTGCAAAGGACAGCAAGGAGGGAGCCAGTCTGACTTATCTAGGGGGGAGGTCCAAAGTCTGGGAGCAGCCACCGAGAAGGCCCTGTTATGCAGCCCCATCCAGCGTGCCTGTGGGGGTGGCAGGATCGAGAGAAGGGCCTTCCCGAAGATCTCAAAACCCGGGCCGGTTCACGTGAGGACATTGGATCTTTCACATAGCTTGGACCTCAGCCCTATAGGGCTTTATAGGTAGTGAGGTGAGGTGACAATATTCTCCGGAGAATATTCTTGAGAATGAGAATAATGTTGTTGTTTTTTATCCAGTTACATTACTGGGCATTGTGCCATTCACCATTGGCAGTTCTGAAATGTGAGCTACAGAAAACATTTTTTTTTTTTTAGTTTTAAAAATGCTATTCATTTAATTTGATAAACATTTGAATTCGTATGTATTCCAACTATATGTAATAGCCTTTTTTCTACTTTGGTGTGACCTTATTCTTAGCAATTCTATACCCTTGGCCATACAGTGTGATTTTTTTACAGAATGTAGCTTTAATGCTTTATACACTTAAAGTGCCTGGGCCTAGGTCTATACAATTATATGTAACAGCATGTGAGGTGGCCGTGATTTAAACAGTTGACGTTTGCCCATGAATAAACATGTATATTAACTAATTATCTCATTTTCAATGCATTAAAATGATATCATTTTCAATGCATTAAAATGAATATTCTCCTATTTTAAATGAAGATTCTCTAATATTCTCATTAATCAAGAATATTCTTGTGAATATTCTCCAAAAGATTATTCTCGAGAATTTAACCTCACTATTTATAGGTCATTACCAGTGCTATGAGTTGTGCTTGGAAACAGACCAGTAGCTAGTTGGGGTTTCTGTAGCAAGGGAGCCTTCTGTTCCCCATAGCCAAACCTGGCCAACAATATGATTGCAGCTCTTTGGGCAGATTGGATTTTCCTAGTGCTTTGCATAGGCATGTTTGCTCCCTGGTCTGTGGGTTGCTGGCGCCATTTAAGTCCCCCTGGAGTCTTTGCTGATATCTTTTTGGCGCCTTAAGCCTTAACTTTCCCATCCACGCTTGAGATGGACTGAGCTGATTTTGCTCTGCTGTGCTGCCAAACCTTCCTGTAGCTGTTAGTGGGTTGTTTTATATGTCTGTATAAATCGGAGGTGTTCATATGACGACGTTTCATGTGAATTTTTGCTGGTGTCGTGGTTAAGTTTTTAAATGTAAGTCGCCTGGAGACCTGAGTGCCTAAACAATCTAATCTGATGATTGGTAGATTTATTTGCATGCAATTTTCTCTTTTTGCTGTAAGGGAAAGAGTTGTTGTTTCTGAATAGCATTAAGATATTCCGTGTCGTCGCCATCGTTTCTAAATGCATTAGAAAATACTTAATAAAATACGGTGTCGGGGAGAAAAATGGTGGAAAGGATGGTGTGTTTCTTAGTTGGATTCAGGCAACACCTGCGCTATTTACAGCACCTTAAACAGTTATGGCTTCCCCACCAACCCCCAACCCCCCAATACTGGGAACTGTTGCTAAGGGTGCGGAGAATAGTGTTCTCCTTTGTTGTTGTTGTTTAGTCATTTAGTTGTGTCCGACTCTTTGTGACC